CCAGAGTCACCTCCCCCCAGAGCCCCGCCCAGCAATCCCGACACTGAGACACGATGACAATATTCACATCCTAATAACATTGCCACAACAGTTGTGACGTCTTCCTTATATTGTGCAGCACCGCGCAAACTGTTGGCGCCATACAAGTCCTGCGTAGTAATAATATTCGGTGCATTGGGCTATCGGTCTTCCGCCCTCGCTGGGATGACGGGGCGAACGCGGGGTTCCCGTGTCCAGGTATCCGATGTCCTCGCAGCGTCTATAAGAAATGCGAGCAGGGACCAGGAGCAATGGACGGCAAGGCCACCTTCAGGGTCAGCTCGGTGACCCCATCGCCAGAAAGGACAGCGCCACCCTACGTGGACCGAGGTGCCCACCTCACCATGACATCTCTGAGGGACCCTGGCTCACCTCTTGTTGGGGGTTTGTGGACTTACCTCAGAGGGACCCTGGCTCACCTCTTGTTGGGGGGTTTGTGGACTTACCACAGAGGGACCCTGGCTCACCTCTTGTTGGGGGGTTTGTGGACTTACCACAGAGGGACCCTGGCTCACCTCTTGTTGGGGGGTTTGTGGACTTACCACAGAGGGACCCTGGCTCACCTCTTGTTGGGGGGTTTGTGGACTTACCACAGAGGGACCCTGGCTCACCTCTTGTTGGGGGGTTTGTGGACTTACCACAGAGGGACCCTGGCTCACCTCTTGTTGGGGGGTTTGTGGACTTACCACAGAGGGACCCTGGCTCACCTCTTGTTGGGGGGTTTGTGGACTTACCACAGAGGGACCCTGGCTCACCTCTTGTTGGGGGGTTTGTGGACTTACCACAGAGGGACCCTGGCTCACCTCTTGTTGGGGGGTTTGTGGACTTACCACAGAGGGACCCTGGCTCACCTCTTGTTGGGGGGTTTGTGGACTTACCACAGAGGGACCCTGGCTCACCTCTTGTTGGGGGGTTTGTGGACTTACCACAGAGGGACCCTGGCTCACCTCTTGTTGGGGGGTTTGTGGACTTACCACAGAGGGACCCTGGCTCACCTCTTGTTGGGGGGTTTGTGGACTTACCACAGAGGGACCCTGGCTCACCTCTTGTTGGGGGGTTTGTGGACTTACCACAGAGGGACCCTGGCTCACCTCTTGTTGGGGGGTTTGTGGACTTACCACAGAGGGACCCTGGCTCACCTCTTGTTGGGGGGTTTGTGGACTTACCACAGAGGGACCCTGGCTCACCTCTTGTTGGGGGGTTTGTGGACTTACCACAGAGGGACCCTGGCTCACCTCTTGTTGGGGGGTTTGTGGACTTACCACAGAGGGACCCTGGCTCACCTCTTGTTGGGGGGTTTGTGGACTTACCACAGAGGGACCCTGGCTCACCTCTTGTTGGGGGGTTTGTGGACTTACCACAGAGGGACCCTGGCTCACCTCTTGTTGGGGGGTTTGTGGACTTACCACAGAGGGACCCTGGCTCACCTCTTGTTGGGGGGTTTGTGGACTTACCACAGAGGGACCCTGGCTCACCTCTTGTTGGGGGGTTTGTGGACTTACCACAGAGGGACCCTGGCTCACCTCTTGTTGGGGGGTTTGTGGACTTACCACAGAGGGACCCTGGCTCACCTCTTGTTGGGAGGTTTGTGGACTTCTTTTGGCCGTCTCCATGGTTACAGATGAGGAATCGTGTCCATGGATAGAGAATGTTGGGTACTTGCCATGCGGTGATTCGGCTCTTGTGCCGTGTTCCGTACTGCGTGCTCCATCCAAGCATGGTCCGTGTGGGAGAGGTGGCAGCCCCCCTATGGCCGGCCGACAGGTTCCCGTGCTTGGTGTCCAATCCTCCTGTAGGTTGGACTCCTGTGTCCCACCCAGAGGAATGGTCTCTACCTCCAGTAGAAGAGTCCGCTGGATAAAGGTTTGTTTGTGCTTTTGGAAACTCCTCCCAGCTCTGGTCTGTGGTGAGGGGCGGAGCTCTCTGGATCCGGATCCACTTTCATGGAGTTTCCGCTTTTTACCTTCTTCGTGTCTTGTGTGCACTGCGTAGATGATGGAGCCAGTGATAGAGTTAGCAGGTAAGTCCCGTATGATGCGTGTTCTGTGTGCGCAGTACTCGGTGTCCCGTGTATGATGCGTGTTCTGTGTGCGCAGTACTCGGTGTCCCGTGTATGATGCGTGTTCTGTGTGCGCAGTACTCGGTGTCCCGTGTATGATGCGTGTTCTGTGTGCGCAGTACTCGGTGTCCCGTGTATGATGCGTGTTCTGTGTGCGCAGTACTCGGTGTCCCGTGTATGATGCGTGTTCTGTGTGCGCAGTACTCGGTGTCCCGTGATACATCAGACTGCGGGGGTCCTCACCTCTCACCTCTTCTCCCCATTCTGCAGTCTCTCTCCGGTGGCGCCTGCACTTTGAATTTGTCACTGCCCGGGAACCTGTGGAAACGCCCACCGTACCAGAGAACCAATCAGAGGTCATCACATGGACGGGAGCGGAGCACATAGACGTGGACACATTTAGCTGGGACCTGCCCATCAAAGTTCTGCCCACCAATCCGTTACTGGCCTCTTACGTATCTCCAGCCTCCTGGTCCCATTCCATCTGTATCTAACCATGGCACCGCTCTGTGATTGGTGGTGGCTGCTGGAGGGGAGGGGCCAAGCATTCCAATTCTCTTCTGTCTGCAATGGGAGGAGCGCTCCCTTTTATCTGTGTTATATTGTAGGGGCACACTCTATAGCTCCCTCCTCTCTGGGGGGTCCTGCAGTGGGAGGGGCACACTCTATAGCTCCCTCCTCTCTGGGGGGCCCGGCAGTGGGAGGGGCACACATAGCTCCCTCCTCTCTGGGGGGTCCTGCAGTGGGAGGGGCACACATTATAGCTCCCTCCTCTCTGGGGGGTCCTGCAGTGGGAGGGGCACACTCTATAATTCTCTCCTCTCTGGGGGGTCCCGCAGTGGGAGGGGCACATATTATAGCTCCATCCGCTGGGTGGTCCTGCAATGGGAGGAGCACACATTATAGCTCCCTCCTCTGGGTAGTCCTGCAGTGGGAGGGGCACACTCTATAGCTCCCTCCTCTGGGTGGTCCTGCAGTGGGAGGAGCACACGTTATAGCAACCTCCTCTGGGTGGTCCTGCAGTGGGAGGAGCACACGTTATAGCACCCTCCTCTGGGTAGTCCAGCAGTGGGAGGGGCACACTCTATAGCATCTTGCTCTCTGGGTGGTCCTGCAGTGGGAGGGGCACACTCTATAGCATCTTGCTCTCTGGGTGGTCCTGCAGTGGGAGGGGCACACTCTATAGCTCCCTCCTCTGGGTGGTCCTTCAGTGGGAGGGGCACACTCTATAGCTCCCTCCTCTGGGTGGTCCTGCAGTGGGAGGGGCCCACTCTATACCTTCATCCT